CGGTACCTCATTAGGCTAATCCTGCAACCCCAGCTGAATCTGATAGGCCTCCATCCAATTATGATAATTCATGTTTGTCACAGTAATCGTAATGGTCAGAGTTCGTCATATCGCTTTAATTAAGTTTACCTTTAGTGATCGTAGTTGCTATTTTATTGGCGCCTAGTTTGGTTAGGTTATAACAGTGTGTCATTTATTCTGGAATATTCTTCTAGAGCTATAGCTTCTATGAAGTTAAGATGCTTATAATTCTGTATTTATACTAGCTACTCTCACATGGTTTCACTCACTGGGTATCAGCGTGATGTTTATAGCCATAGCCATTATAGTCTTCTTCATAGATAACATCGAACTCGAACAACTCGAAAACATCAAGCGACTATCCAAAACACAATATTTTTTCAAATTAGAACCAGTCGTTCCCGAGATCAGCGTGTTCCATCATACCATGTTTCATTAAAAAGTTATATTAAAGTAAACTAAAATTATTATCTTCTTTATTTCTAAGAAAAATGTAGGTATATCAACGACACTTCTCTTTCTGAGAAAATTATACACATTTATTCTGCATAGATTACTATATTGTAACACTAGCTTTTGCTTGCGGCTTCGCTCTCGTTGGGGGTAAAGTTAATCAAAATCCTTTCTTAGCAAATGTCAAATTTCACTCCGATCCGTTCAGTGGTTTGGGCTGTGCGTTGATAGATCACTATATCAGTCACCTTTGAGTTTTATATATTTAGATTCATAACAGTACTAGCTCATCAAGCTTCTCGAACAGTCCAAACGATTTTAAATTTCACTACAAAACGATAAAACTGGAAATCTAAAAACAAAATATTAATAACGAGTAGTATGATGTGCCATTTTTATATGTATAAATTAATTTCGTCACAATACAATAATTGTTTTAGAAAAAGCATTCAATTATAATTAAAATTTCACACTTCGATCATGTGATAATACCAAGTTAATCTCATGTTACAAGCATTTGCAATTAGTGTTATCAAATAATTGTAATTAACAAGGGCGATGTTATCTATTCTAATAACATAACATAATTATAAACATTACGTTATGACCCGGGTATGCCTTGATCAGACCAGAGAAGCAACTGCAGGCTCTTACCTATTTGTAATCAATAAAAGGCCTATCGTAGTGTAGGGCGCCCTCCAGCTAGGTGGACTGACTACATCCGCAGGGTGGCTGGCAGTGGTTGGATGAGAAGAGCTGAACATCAACCTCAGTGGCGTGCAATTGGGGCCTATGTCCAGCAGTGGACGACAACAGGCTGATGATGATGATGATGATGATGATGATGATGATGATGATGATGATGATGAAAAGGCCTATCAGACGTGGGGTGGAGGCGTTTTCGTTATACAGTTCTACATTTTTCTCTGTAACGCCTTCAGTGCTTCATTGTTTTCATGGTCGTATCTACTGAAGAACCTGGCTTACAGGAGTTGCAGTGTTTTGCCAGTCAAAAAAAGTCAAACCAATAGTTTCACTAATTAGCAAATTCTTACAAACTAATAAAAATTTATCTTTCGCAAACTTGTACTCAATGTACTGACATTTTTCGTAGGAATTCTTTAGCCGTCAAATTTATAAGGAAATTATGAATATTTATTATAGACACATAATAGTTTTAATCCCTCTCCGATTAGAACACGATAGTTGGAATATTGATTATCTAAAGTCATTGCTTCTAACAAGAGATATACACTATACTATAAACTAATAAACATTATCTTTCAACATAGAAAATAGAAAAACTGAAATTATTAAGACTAAACCCTTTTATGAAACTTGTCAGCCATTTCAATTTCTAAGTGGCGGTGATCCCAACAGAACAAATGGGTCGACTCGATCGGAATAATACTAATAGAAAACCACAGCGTTGTGTAGCGCCATATGTGTGAGGTTAGTGGACGCCCCGTCCTTCTCCTCCCCTAATCCCTCCCTAATCTATAAATCTCCAAAACCCTAATCCCCATACGGTCTTAACTCCTCATGTGTTGCGGGTATCCATGAGCGGTGCTGATTGCTCACCATCAGCCGTTTGCCGTCGTTTCACATAAAAAACTAGTTTTCTTTCACAATAAGTAGACTATAATCATAGATATTTTTTTTGTTATCAATCTCACCACCAATAACCGATTAAAATCAGCACAGCAGTTTAGGCGTTAGAATAAAACAGACTTCATAACAATCCGCCCATTAAAGGTCAAAACACAAGTGAGTCGACACAAGCCCACACGTTAGTCACCTGGACCCCTACTTATCCCACAATTGCGAACGACATTCCGCCAAAGATGGCAGTGGCAACATTGTTATAACAAAATGTTACGCATGTGGGCGCGGACAGAAGGACCAATTATTACGTTTGTAAATTTAACTAGACTGGTCCTTTGCTAATTCGTTATAGAACTGTATGGGATCTATATTTTCAAGTCATTAGATCCTTGGAGGTCATTTAGATTCGAGAGAAGTTAAATTCCACCGAGCTGATCAAAGTTCCTAAACACTTATTTTGATGTACCCTGTAAGTAGCTATTTGACAACAAATAAAAAGGTACCATTAGTTTTTAAAAAGATAGAATACGTTATTTGAACGTCATTTAAGTACTAAACTCCATTTCACTCAAACTGTGGGTTGGTTCCTGTTTTCAAAAATAGGTCCGATTCCGAAAGACTCTACCCTTTCCTATGGTATAGTGAAAGTGGGTTAAAGGACTATACTTGAAAAGCACTAGGTCAGTCTTATAAACTGTAATCTTTAAATCAGGATTTCAGAGGTAGCCCATTATTTAAAGGCAATGATAAATAAGTATGTTAAAAGATCAACTTAAGAAGATTCTGTTATGTTTATCACTTTGGGTATCAATGAGAAAGAGTGCCAGACCCTCACTGACTAAAACTACCCCGTTCCAAGAAAATTCCCAACGCTTTTTTTAGGATATATTTGTAGGTTATAGTTGTATTATTTGTATCCCGTATAGAAAACTCGGTCGTTGTGTTTCACAAATTATAATTGTCTAGCTTGTAATACTCGGGTTCACATTTTAACCCCATTTATGTCTGAAAGTGCCAATCAATTCAAAACATGTCCACGCTAAATAGTTCCTTATAACAACGTTGTAACTGTCACCTCAATAATGCTATAATTATGATCTCTAACGACAACTTCACACACTGTCACGTACAGCAGCTTATCAAGCTACCCCAAATTGGCGAATACTCCTAACTTCAACTTCAACTTTATCATCCAGTGATAAAGTTGAAAATTCTTCGAAGAGACTCAACAGTAGCTTGATGTGCAGCTGGTGTTTGTATGTACACTTAAAAGTGATTTTGTCTATACATATGGCGTGCTTGCAACACGTGACTTGAAATAGGTGCGAAATACGTTTTATTTAATCATATGATATCAATGTTACTGAGTATGTAAATAAAACTAGTAATAGGAGTTGAAGGTTTTTTCGCTGCTTTAAAAATACTCATTGATGTTAAGTTCTGAGATCCTCATAAATCGTCAGGAATAGTCCATTGGTACTTTTATAATCTCCACGTATAATGAGGAGATTGAAGATCACAGTTAACACTTTCAGAAAACTTTCAGATTTATTATAAGCGTTACTGCAAGATCTTTGTCAAATGAAGCCCCTTAGTCGACTTGATGAAAGAGTAGATTCTTCTGTTCTGCCAAAACACGGTTCACAAGAAAGTACAAATATTTTCTTTGAAATAATTTTCTTCGGTTATACTTAGATATTATTGGCATTTCTTTCGTCGAGTTCGAGTCACGTACATCGACACCTGTTTTGTTTCCTATCAGACACATTGGTCACATGTGACGAAGTGAAAATGAGCGAAAAGATAAACTTTATTGAAGTTTTTCAACCAACTACATATATTGATTGCCTATTGTTTATCGACATTATCACCGGATGCCTTATATTTTCTTTCTATATTGCTGTTATGTTTATTTGGTAGTTACCTTTGGACTGCTTATCTTTATAAGACAGTTTTTCTATGAGTTGGCACCATGTTTTCCAATACTTATATAATTTAATAGCAACCCGCCCATGCTTTATCTATTAGAAAAAACCGCATCAATATCTGCCAACATGCAAAAGCAAACATAGGGACAAAGGGATAGAGAAAGCGACTTTGTTTTATACTATGTAGCGATACTTATGACAAAAATCGTAAGTTCTACTTATGGTATTGTACGTTTGTACATAAGATTATAAGGTACAGACGTCTTGGGCTGGTGCAGAAAAAGGAACATTGTAGTTTTTAATCAGTAAGAGTAGATCACTCGCTTTCGCCCCGTCCAGGACGAGAATTAAAAAATGACTTTTAATCCTCCTTAAAAAATATTTTAAAACTATGTCATTTATTGACAGGGTTCACACAGAAGCTGCTGTTGTATAGATCTTGATACAATTTCGTACACCAACATATAGTAGACTTTAGTTTGCAGAAAATGTTATAAAATAAAACGTAAGTCGGCAAAGTTTCGCGGAAGAGGGAAGTCCTCGGCACGACCGCGCTTGACCATAAACGGTAACGGATACAGCCCAGTATGGACAGAATTATTAACTTAATCTAACTGTTATTATCTTCTAAACATGGTCATTGTAAATTAGATGCTGTTTTTATCGCCCAAAGGGCTATGAATGAGAATGCCTGTCTCGTTACCTTTAATTATACGCCTGAATAAATACCACCCATTAACTAGGTGTCATAATATTTTTCTAAAAGGTATGATGGCTATAATCAGGTCTAGATCCAGTTACAATCGCTAAATGGCTGTTGACAATTATGGCTAAATGTTTGAATTGCTAATTTTCACCACAATGGCAATGACATGTTCACATTGATACGTAACTTTAATCAACTATAAAACAAATCAAATCTACATAAATAAACCTTCCTCTATTAATAATATTGTTCTTCTCTTTCTCAAATACCATTTTCTCTATTTCCAGAGCGTCTCGACCAAGACGATGGCTGTCACATGGACAAGAACGAACGAGTGGACGACCACGTGAGCCTAAACACTGGTCTCCGTAAGACTGACTTCTCCGACACCTTCTACGGAGGCAGGAAGCCCAGCTCCATAGAAGAAAAGTCAAATAGAAGCAGTCCCGACCGAGCAGTCGTCACTGAAAGCAACGATTCTCCCAGCAAGAGCCTTCGAGTTACTCGAGAAGCTTCTCAGTCTCCCACAAAGACGATTAGAAGCCGACAGGCCAGTCGGATACCACACTCTCCTGTCAGGAATCGTACACCCAGCCGGGGAAATACACCCAGCCCCAAACATACCGCAAACCCAGTGCAGACATCCCCAAAACTAACGCCGAAATTGCCGCCAACTGCCAGAAACACTTGGAGCGGACGCACAGCACCCGTCCAGGCCAAAGTAAAGTCCAGGCCAACCATAGGAGCTGACACTTTTGATAATCCGAATAAATCTCCAAAAATGAAGGCCAAGGCTCCTCAGACTGAAGCTTTCAAGAGGAACTCTCCACTCAGAGCCAGTAGTGCTACTCTTAGGTCCCCACCGAATCAAAAACCTTTGAGTCCTTTATTAGAGCAGATCTTAAGATCAACAGAGAGCGCGAAAGATGACGCAACAGTTTTAGAAAAAATGAAGGAGATTATTAGGACATACTCAAAGGGAGACGACTCTCTTTCTAGAACTAGCTCTAAGGACTCAGACTATGCTGACTTCACATCAGCCTGGGTAATGTCTGATGGCAAATTAGAAAGGTCAACTAGCACTAGGCAGTTGGCTGCTCCTAGAAAAGACCAAAGGAATGGACCGTCTCGGATACCGGCGCCAGTCTCTATTGGCTGCAGAAGGTCCACATCCACATCACAATTCCAATGACAGGAATCAGGAGATAGTGTGGACACACTAACCAGTGACAATTGAACTATTTATGCTAGTGTTTAGTTTGTGCAGATAGGTCAAAACAAATTGTTGGTTCGTGAAGAAAGGCAGCCGATATGGCTTTGAGTGTGATATTTTAGGACGGAGAAACATATTATGGACTTTAGTATCGCATATCTTTGTGTATGTAGCGATAAGGGCTAAGATTATATGGATTAGACAATGCAAGCGGTCTCGGACGAGCTATCTAGACAGTCTTACTAAGATGCTTACATCTGTAGGTCATAAATGATTGTGAAAGACTAAGCTAGGCTGACGTTGTTCGAGATAGCTTCCACACGGCTTCGACTTACGTGGCTAGCAGTCAAGCAGATTACACCACGCATTAGCTAGATCTTTAGTTAGAACGGTGTAATCCACACAATGACGATTCTAGAATTGTAACTTAGTACTAATTGTCGATTAGAAAATTCGTACTAACAATTTTTAACAAATTAAATGGGTAACATCAGCCATTATGAATTTATATTTTTTTCCATACATTTGCTTATGAACCGACTTTTAAAGAACTAAGGCTGGCAATTTATGGATAATTTATAGAATATGCAAAGATCGGCGACAAAAAATTTGTAGATTATTTAAATAAATTGAATTAAATTTTGGAAAATGTAAAATACAGCACTCGATTCTTATTAAAAGTCGGTTAAATATGGTGCTAAGCAATAAAATGTTAGCTTTTTGTTGTTTAGTTATTGTTAATATAATTATTTTTGGTTAATTGCGATCACAAGCGATTTTACAATGTTAATAAGAATTAAGTTAGCTAAGCAATAGCAAAACTTGGCCTACATAATATATTTTTTTTCACAATTTGGATCAAAGTGTACCCATTAACGAGTATTTAGAAATCATTAGATTGATAATCATAATAATTATTATATAAAATAAAAATTTCATTGAATAATGGTAAGCACAATCGTTTATCACAGACTTCTAATAACCACATTCTGATAATTACTATTAATAATAAGAAATAATAGAATATTATTAATAGAAATAATGAGATCAGTACCCAGGTACGTTTTATTTTACAAAATGACAAGTTTTAGTTGTAAGTTATTTTTAAGATTTTGGTTAAGTTTTTTTTTGTAACTTCCCGGTAATATATTACCTACTAATAAAAAAATGGAAATTATTATGTATTAATAGATTTATTCGACATTAAAAATTATGCATTTAACGAGAATATCATTCCAAAAGCCGGGATATATAGCAATTTTTGTTTAAAAGTAATCTCATTTTGTATAGTTTCTGAGGGGTAGAGCTTATAAAATTTGTAGTGTTTTTAAATAAAAGAAATAGCCTTCGAACTTGTAGCATTTTATATAAAAAAATAAAAGGTAATATGGCAAAAAATACAAAAAAAAAATATTCGACAAAAGACATCCATTTTTATACCTCATAATATAGTATACTTGAAATAAAAGAAGAGATATTTTTGCACCGTTCTTAATTCATAGAAACACCACTAGATGTCACTAGTTGCCATACAACCGTCCGTTTCAAAGTGTAGTATGAAAAAACAGCTGTAGATTGACATCGACATTTTAGTCCACAGTTTTATTTCATTTACATCTAAAAACTAAAACATGTGGCTAAAATGAAAAAAAATAATACTTCTATCGTTGTCATAGATAATTTAATATTAATTAAATTAATGATTGAAGTAATTATAATTAAGATATCTTTAAGATTTCTATCATAAGGTCCTATGTCAGACCCTTATTAAGATGTCACAAATGTTACTTATATGTTGTAATGCTATGCTTAAGATTAAATGTCAAGGCTCCACACGCTACCGATCAGTTTTGTTGCATACTAACAAGTATACAATATTTTTACATACATATACTGTGCTATTATAGTTTATAATTTATAAATATTACTTCTGAAACCTACAACCTGATTATAAAGCTCAAACCTTCAAACAATGTCATCTGTTTACTTCAAATAATAAATAAATAGGTTTTAAAAAACTATTTGGTTTATTTTTTTTTATAATTTATTTCGAATAATGATTTTGAATTCGTAAACAGATGACTCAAAATGGACGTTTCCAATTAGCAGTTTAAGTATATAAGAAATGTATGTATTATCTTATTACAATTATGTACCTAAGTATATCAAAAAGAAATGTCCATTAACATTACAATTTATGTACAAACATGTTTATACTATCATAAAAAAATATATTTATGAAAAAATAATACAAAATGGGCTTCTATTTTTTTTCCATAATTGTTATATTTTTTTGTGATAATATAAATATGTTTAGAGGTCTAGAGGCTAAGATTTACGTTAGTATACACAATTTCTTCGACGTAACGTTACCAGTGACTATGCCATAGAAATCTGTTATTATTCACGGAATAAACGATAAGTTTATCTTAATTTTTTTATTATTTATTTGCTTATTAAACACCTTTTTTCTAAATACAGAACATGAAGTTAAAAGGCACACAGCAAATTTAAATTCGGCCACGTCGCTCGAAGGACGGACGGTCAATGGGCCCGAATAGTACTCGAGCGTGGGCAGACCTCCTGCAGTCTCTCGCTAGGTGGACCGAAGACATTGTTAGAGTCGCAAGGAGCCAATGGATGCAGGCGGTAACTAGTCGTATGACGTGGAGGACTAAGGGGGCCTTTATCCAGTAGTGGATGTCTTCTGGCTGGTGATGATGATAATGATCATGAAATTCACATTTCTCTGATTTGAAGAGTATATGGAAAATTAACTAACTAGACAAAACTAACTGGAGTAAATTTTCCTAGACCATATTTCAACAACAATACTGCTTAGTTCTTACTTGGCCCAATCACATCATTATAATCCCATAATCCTCAATACTCAAATCCTTATCCACCAGAAGGACGGCAACAGACTTTCTTACCCTTTCAATATTGTAGGAGTCCATGAGAGATGCCAATTGCTTGCCATCAGGTACCACATGCTCGTATACCATTAATCCTATACCGTCCTCAGAACATAATACGAAGAATTAAAACCTATATTTAAAAAAGAAAACACTGACTACACTACTCTGAAATAAGAAAAATACGCTGCCAAATGACGACGTCTGTCATTTGATCCTGTCAGTCCCGCCACCAGGCCAAGGTTAGGCGTCAGCCGTGTTCCACCGTCACCAGATGACTCCATAAATCATCCTGATGATTCCTATGTTCACATCTGCCGTCCTTATTGTACATTGTTGGCAGACGGTGTTCTTTCTAATTGTGTTGTTTGCCACATTTCTGTCACTACGGGAACTGCTTCGAATTACCAGGCGGGGCAGAGGATGTTTGTAAGTTTACCTGCCTTACTTTTAAACTAGGAAGGAAGGTAACATTTTTAGGAGGTCTTATGAGAAGATGCAGTAAGGAGACAGCTTATAAACAGCGAGGATGAATGAAGTAGTCGTTGATGATTATGCAAAGAAATTTCAGCTTTACTTACCTATTTATGGCTGAATGCATTGGGCATGTAGCATTGATATAATTATAATCTTTATTAGAATTTGCATTCGTTCTGTAATTATATTCAATTACAAAGTATAGGATACTATGGTTTGCAATAGCATCAGATTAAGACTGCTTCTTCTGCTGAGAGGAATTGTTAAATAGTTTTCGTTAGCATGGACTAACGAATCCTAGTTCATGTGAGCACATAAAAAAGTTTACATGTGCATTAGGTTTACAGAAGAATTCCAAAGAGCACTAGATAATCATAAAAAAGGACATTATGAAATGTTATGAGAATGGAATATAGAATGTAGAATTGATTTTCATGCGTTTAGGCGTTTTTGCCATACCTATCACTGGAAACTATATGGAACTGGAAGTATAGCAGCTCACACATAGGTATGGGACCTATGTGTGCACTTTTTTTATAATTGATCATTTACAATCTCCACGGACTCGGGGTCCGTGCCCTTGTTACACTTATAATAGTAAATTTTCCGTAGTGTTTGGTGACTGCATGGGCTCCTCCCAGTTGTACAGTATCTTTTGTGCCTTTAAGGCTTAAGTCATTCTGTCTCCTGGATTAAATTAACCTAGGAAAGTGGAAACTATTTAGATTTTTCTCAAATATCTTCTGATTTATTTTGTTACGGGATCCATAAGTCCATAATTAATGTCCCTGGGACGCGCCGGACTTCAGTGTTCCGGTGTTTTCACGGTTGTTTCTACTGTAGATCCTGGCTTATAGGAGGTGCAGCGGTTTTGAAAGATTATATATTATATAGCAGCTTCCATGTTTTTAGACATGAAATAATTTTTAGTGTAATAGTGAATTAACAATTCCTCTTTGATTTAATCATTGTACTTTGTCTTCCAGCTCCAGTAATTCAGAATAAGTATGAGCGAGGACGATAACGATTCAATAATATTATACATATTAGCACATTATTGGGAAACTGTTTGCTTCATAATTATAACATTTGCGTTTTTTATATCGATTTTTGAGCTGATACGCGCCACGAGACCCAGACCTACTCTTAACAGTGGTTGCTGGTAAGTTATTGCTTATTTATAGACCTTTTTTAATACAACGAAGTGTGGGAGAGCCATGCTTCTGCACGAATGGGTCGGCTCGACCGGAGTGATACCACGGCCTCACAGAAAGCCGGCGTGAAACAACCACAGTATTGTGTTTCACCGTGTGAGTGTGATGCCGGAGACCCAATCCTTCCCCTCCCCAATGCCTAAATCTCCAAAACCCTAATCCCCAAAAGGTCGGCAACGCACTCGTAACTTTTCTGTTGTTGCGGGTGACCATGGGCGGCACTGATTGCTTACCAATGATCCTCGTTTGCCCTTCTATCACATATAAAGAAAACGATAGAATAATTTTGTTAAATAATTAAATATACTTAATTGTTTTATAAACAATAACTGATTTATTTATTTAGAAATTTGAACATAAATCTGTGTACAAGATGGACCTAATGCCACAGGCATTCTCTGCCAGTCGAACCTTTATGTGATGCAAAGATAACAGTAGCCAGACAATCAAAAACTATCTCTGTAGTAAATTAATAATATAATTATTTTCTCTCCCTGTTTGTCTAATAATTTGGCTAAATGTAATCTGTTTCATATTTGCGAAGATATTTTTCACTATTAACATATTTCTATCAAAGTAATATGTATTGTAGTACTTAGTTCTTTGTTTCAATTTTCAATGGATTGTATTTAGACTTATTTCTTTCCAGATTTTGTAAAAATGGAGTACGATGCTCTTATTCTCGGACTTATAATATATCTGCTCTTGGTGGGGATATGTTAGTAGGATTATTATATTATTTTATAGTTAATATGCAGTTAGATGAAAGATAGGTTCATAAATATTTGGAGTAGTAAATACTGTAGAATTCATTATATTCTTTTAAAGCGTAATGTAGTAACCTGCCATCTACTGTTGAGTAACTGAACCAAAAATGTTTTCAGTGATTATTATAAACGAAGCTTTTTGCAAGGCGCGTTGTATGAAGAATGCACAAATATTGCAAATGGAAAGAGAGATGAGAGACGTGGAACTGAACGAGCGACAACCTACCAAAATAGACAGGGAACCCATCTTACAACAACCAATAAAAACTTCCCACCATCAACGCTTCCAGTAATACTTCAGAGATGGCGCTTATCTCAAATAATAGAAAAAATCTGGCCACAAGAAGATTTAATGACACTAATGTACCTTCAAGCTCGAATAAATTTAATGAAAAACGCTGGGACTGACGGAAAAGGAAACACGGCATGATTTTTATAAAATTATTTTTACTTATACATAGTTTTTATAATTAATTTTACTTATTTATTTATTTGTAACTTATTTATAATTATATTATTTTACACTTATATACCTACTTATACTAACGAAGTCTAATTAAAGCAGCTTCAATAAATACCACAAATACCTAAGTGTAGTGTATTATTTGTGTCCCTCGCTTATGGAATGTTTTACGAACTAATTATTGTAGCTATCAATGAGGGGTAAAGTTTTTGTGTTCACCAGATGGCGCTTATGTAGCGTAAGGTCCTGTTTTTCCAATAAATAATGTATATATTTTCGGACAGGTATAGTGATTGGATAAATAGGTCGTAATGCTACTATAACGCCATCTAGCGAGCGCAGAAACGTTAGCCCTTTAGTCTTGCTACTTTGATGTAGGTACAGATTAATCTTCGAGGAATATTTTGTTCATTGGCACTCTATCAAATATCTCGTTAGTGACATTCTGAAACACAGAGCTTAGTGACTTCTCATAGGATTCCTTCAGTTCGTTGAAGACTAGGTCGGAATTGGAGTTCAGGAATCTGTAATGTAAAAATCACATTTTAATATCTGCGTTAGGTAAAGTGGAAAATTAAGTTAATTATGGCACAAACTAGATTCTTTTAACATGGTACCATAATATATACTAAAGTCCCATTAATGAGTTGAACTTTTCCCATAGACATTGTTACTAAAATATTTAAAAATATCCTTGAATTGGCCAACGACCTCATATTTAGTAGTCAGCACGAGGGGCGATATAGACCACCACTACCCACCCTATGCATCCCAATAGGAGGTGGAAATAAAGATACAGGTAACGGTGGAAGAGCCATACTTCTGTACTAATGAGCCGGCTCAAATGAAGAGCAAACACAGCGTAATGTTTTTCGCTGTGAGTGTGGCTACCGGAGTTTAATCCTTCCCTTTCCCAACTCCTAAATCCCCAAAACCCTAACCCCTAAAAAGCCTGCAAAGAAAAATTACAAACCGCTTGGAAACTCCTCTAGTGTAGTCCACGGGCGGCGCCAATCCCTTACTATCAGGTAATACAAAAGTACGTTTTTCAGAAAAGAATCAGAAAGAATGTGACTCACTCGTTCATGTTATCACCAAGGACCTTATCCCCGTTGAAGAGGTTGGAGAAGTAAAGCACGACCTTCTGCGGGATGAACTTGACCCTGTAGTCCTTGATGTGCATGTAGGTCTCGCCGTCTCTCACCACCGGCTCCCCAATCAGATCGTGTTTCACCACAAGGTTCACTGAAAACAGCGGTTTGGAAGAAGTAAAATTTGTTGATGCACAGTTAGGTGATTTTGGGTATGACGTAAATCTGTCTTGATGGTTCAACTTAGAAAGAATATTATTACATAACTTTTTATTTATTGAAATAAATACTCAATAAAGATTAAGATTGATAAAATGATATCAAAACTGAAATGAAAATATTCAGTGAACGGTAGAGTAAAAGCGAAAAAATGCCATTTTAAAATTATGCTCTAATTTTTGCCATTAAAATTAAAGGCGGTATGTTTTGAAAATGGCAAATTTTTATAAATTATATTCAAAAAATAATTTAGTAACAAAGAAAATCGAATTGGGTTCACTAATATTCTATTATTCACTACTCTAGCGGGCTGTAAAATTTAGTTCCACTACTCGATAGTAGATGGCGCTACTCACCCATAGTGATGTTAGCAACACCTTTTCCTTGGATAGGCAGTAGTAGGATCCTGCCCCTCATAATGTAGTCGGCAATAAACTCCATTTTAGGAGTTATAGAATCGGTCCTGAGTCTGTAGTTTTTGAGATCAGCCCTGGAAAATTGACAATATCATACGTAATTACGTTTGTGTAAAATTTGGTTGAGATTGATAGACTTTTTCGAAAAGATCTCTCGATCCACACATGTACTTGCTAACAGAGATTAACTTTGAGTGCATCTAAAAACAGTATTTCTTGATGTTTATTGAACAGAAATTTGAAATAAGTATTGATAAAAAATATTTAGTTGTTATAATGTAGATCTTGTTCTAAATATAACAAAAATGAAGGAGGACAGACCGTCAGACTGACCCATAAAGTTGAACTTTTTGATGTAAAAATTTAGTTTGACGTCCAAAAGCCCCTATAGTGGTTTTTATATAAAATTTTAAACTACCCACCGACACAGGAAGCTTTCTTGTCAAGGGGAAATCAACAAATGATTTCTCCCGCCCATAGCAAGGCGAGAGAGACTGTCAAACTCTTACTGACAAAAACTATTCGTTCCTTCTCCTGCTTTAGGCCGAGACGGCAGTGCCTCATTGCGCTTGACCCGCAACCCCGGGTGAACATCAGCCCTGTAGTAGCGCCCCAGAAAAATACTTAAGTCATCGTCAATTAGATGATGATTATGAAGGAACTCACTTGTACAAAGTCAGCAAAGTATTAGTGAGACCGTGGAGTTTGATGTTCTTGTACATCTGTGTGATGACGACAGGTCCTGAGCCGGAGTCCACGTTGATGCTGTTCACGTGCAGCGGCTCCATCGGAGGCACTGATAGAGATGGGATTCCTAGAAACATTATAAGGTAAAATATATTAAATACAAAAACCTCACAGATGGTTGGATTTGATGTAGCAGAATATATTAGATTGAATAAAGAAACCTATCAGATGGTTTGCTTAAAGAATTATCTTGTTTTCTGTAAAATTGATTACGCCATAATTTTCTAGATAGAACGAATTGATGTTTCCTGGATAAAAAAATCATTGTTTTGGCTTTTTAATACGTCATTTTTTTTAACAATCGCACTTAAAATAATGCTTAACTTTGGAGAAACTTAAGGTTACCAAAGGTCCTATCCTTATTCTTCCATAACCCCTATCCCCAAATCCGTCAATATTTTAACTATTTTATGCTTTAGTGATGCGTGTATCCATGGGTAGCGTTAATTGCTTATCATCAGGCGAAATGTTTGATCGTTTATTCCTTAAAAATAAAAATGTATTTTTATGGAGCAAGCAGCAAATTAATTTAATTCAAACTTAACTAATATCTAGCATGTCGCATGCAAATTTTCTATTTAATAAATTGCCACATCAGATCTTCGTACGCTCTTACTTTCCGTAAACAAAAATGCGGAAACGGTAAAGTTGTTGTAATTGTAAATAGTTAAACACGTGCGTTGTTCACGAATGCCCACATTTTGCTGTTAAATCATCGATAGGTAAGTACGTAACACAGTTCGTCAATCAATTCGGTAACATTGCGTGTTTCTATTACCGAATTAGATTTTTAAGTACAATTACACAGTTCCGCGGAAGAAATTAGCTTTTTTTGGAGGTTATGTACAATTACAGAGTTTTGTGTTAATAGAAAAATATATCATATTTATGTAATCATTGTTAATTATTATGTTTTCGGCTTAATCACGTAATAATTTGACGAGATACTCGACTCGACTCGAGCAGCATTCCGCGACACGAAATTATTATATATGATATATATATTGAGTAAGCCGAAAACATAATATTTAATTTAGAATGTCTCTCGAAAGTTATAATAAAAATGTAATAATTGTTGTTCTTTTATACCTACATTAGAACGACAAATGACAGTGAGCAATCAGCGCCACCCATTTACACCCGCAGCACTAAAGGAGTTACGAGTGCGTTGCGTCCTTTTTGGTGCTTTGAGTGGGGTTAAGGTTCAGGGAATGGGAAAGGTATCGGTCTCCGGTAACCTCACTCAAAATAAAAACTAGCATGCTTCACTAAAAATTGGCTCTTATTAGGTCGCAATTAATATTATTGTTGACTAAGAGAATATTTACTATCAATAATAAAAAAATATACTTTATTAAAATATGACTATCAAAATATGCTTTTTTATGGAATAGGTCAGCAAACGAGCAAACGGATTACCTGATGGTAAGCAATCAGCACCGCCCATGGGCACCTACACCAAACGAGTTACGATTGCGTTGCGGCTTTTAGGGATAAGGGTTTTGGATATTTAAGGATTGAGAAGGGATGGCCCTCCCCATCCTTTGGGAGGGATTGGCCTCCGGTAACCTCACTTACACGCTTTTTTTGGGATGTATTCTTACCTTTTTTCATCCTCCGGAGCGCGTCAGGGACGGCCATTTTGAGGCACTCGTTCAATTTGGAGTCCTTCTGCCGACATCTTGTAAAATCTTCCGCTGTAATCATAGAAATATTTGGTTAAGACAATGGGGAAAAGAAACCAACACAGAATATTCCTAATAAACACATTTTATTAACCGACTTCAAAAAAGGAGGAGGTTCTCAATTCGACGCGTATTTTTTTTTTTTTTTAAACAAATAAAGTGAATGTGAGGCCCAATTGTGGTTTGAAACGAGTCGTGCATGATCGAATGCGTATAACCGATAATACAAAATGGTTTTCGATACTTAAAGTAATATATAGTATATAATATATTAATATTATAAAGCTGTAAAGTTTGTTTGTTTTTTTGAACGCGCTAATCTCTGGAACCACTGGCTGGAATTAAACAATTCTTTTTGTGTTTGTTAGTCCATTTATCGAGTAAGACTCTAGGCAATAAAATATCACGCTACGATCTGTAGGAGCCAAGGAGCCTAGCGAGATTAGCTAGTTATAAATAAACGTAATTTAAAAATAACAAATCAAAACACAGATCTTATTTATAAATATTAATATTAGGCAACAATTATGGAATAATTCCGGCGGCCTGCGTATTGTTTGCCAACTACCAACCGCTGCCGACCTTGTAACGAATATATGGCTTGCAGATGTGACAATAAGCCGGCAATCAACAGTAATACCAGTTTGACCAGTCTTTTAAATTATGCCGTAAACTGTGGTCGGTCAAGGTGAATCTCGTATGCGGTCGTGAATGTGAAAGAAATTGTGGAATTTTCTCGTTTGATTGTGACATCGGACTGATTTATAAAAATGTGTAACAGAATGTTGATAGAGAATAAAATTGATTTGGAGTGGTGAAATGTCTCAGTGTTGCGGTTTAAGCTCAATAAGGCGCCGCAGCCCCAGCCCCAGCTGTAGTAGAAGAAGTAACGGAGGAGTTATTAGTCAGTAAGCGTCTGACAATCCCTTTCGCGTTACCCTGGGCGAGAGGACTAATTTGATGATTTTCCCTAAATGTATTTTTTAGAACAAGAGATTCGAAGATGTGTTTCATTATCAATTTCATGGAGTCTGAAATAAAGTAAGTAATTTTTTAAGAGAGAAAATTCTTAGATTTCTTCTCTCATTCTAGATGGGGTGGGAGGAGTGAGAGGCAGGCTCTTACAATTCCTTCTTCAGCTACAAGTTGGGCAGCGATGAATTATTAACGCTTGCACAAACAACAAAAATAATGTAAGTAACTTATACTTTGCGATTGTCATATTATGAAAATAATACCCGTACATGATATGGGGGAGGAAGTCTTTTAACAGACGTTGACAGCATAACAGTTAATCTTGGGAACTTATACTGACCTCAGGAATTGTACTTAAGATCCTGTGTATTTTTTTAATGTAACATCATCAAAGGACTACTTCCACGCTGGGTAGGACGAGAGGAGTGTCAGGCTTTTACTTAACTGACTGGAAACTACCCCATTCCTGTTCTATTTGCTCCAGGCTATGGCTGCGATACATTATTGCATCTGAATCCACAATAGGGCCGAACTTAAGAACCTATTCAACTCAACGCCAATCATAAAGCTATCAATTTATGTGTGTACGCATGCATTTAAGTATGTAATTGAAAAGGCATTGTGTTCCATTTCTATTGCGTTCGTTAGCTTTTTAAGGAGCGTACATTGGACAATGCCGATCTATTTTTAAAAAGGTCTTTGTATTCCAAACGTTGGCATATTAACGTGTCGGTTGAGCGTTAATAGGAGTGGCTACCGAGTGGGACCTTGGGTTCGTGAATTATTGTGCGTATGTCAAGTTTTAACTCCTTTTAAATGGATGGACTTACAAAACCGGTGACAAAGAAAGTTTGACTGAGGCAGTTTGATTGCACTGTTGGTGGGCTATGCAATGGCTGGGCAACTGGCTGCCGTGCATCGTGTCCCGGGTTCGATTTTCGCACGGAACAACTCTTTGTGTGATTCACAAATTGTTGTTCCGGGTCTAGGTGCCATGTGTTTGTGAAATTGTATGTTTATAACCGCACCCATTGAAAATTGCAGTGCAGGCAACGTTTTTTTTTAAAAGGTAAAATTTAAAATCATTTATACTAAACCATAAATAGGTATTTTTGAATCATCAAAATATAATAATAGTCTATCAACCTATTCGTAAGTGAAGCTAGGTGCTCGAAGCTAACTGATATATAACATAATGAACCTTCTATCTATATCTATGCGTGGTCACAGCAAATCGTGTCATCTGACATACGAAATGCAGCCTCCGACGGTTGTGCAACTAGTCGTAACGACTGCAACTGCTAGTAACGTGCAACTACGATCGACAGCGATGTAATTGTATACTAATTCAAAAGTACCTACTAGATACTTTTAATATATACCTTTAGTAAGGACATTAACTTTACTTGGTATAAGATAAAATTACTACTCAGATATATCATTATTTGTTAAGTATAATAACTATTCCGGTCCTTGATTCGTACTTTTTTAGGAAAAAAGTGTTGAAAGTGTGTTCCCAAGTACCCATTCTAATTTTCTAAAATTTTCTTTCATGAGAACTTGTTCCTGACAATATCAAAATCAACAGAATGAAAATACTGGGACTGTTGCTCCAGGAGTAGTTGAGTTATGCGTTTACTGTTATTGTTAACGTGCTATTTGCGATACATTTTTGCGGACCGAAGGGTGCGGGTTTTAAACCCGGCAAATACTTGTGTGCTTTTTCCAAATACTTCAGAGGTCTCGTTAATATAGAGGGACATATAGATAGATATATATACATACTGTGAAGGAAAACATGGTGAGAAAACCTGGACTTATAGTTTCTAATGATTGACATCGCCAACCGGCCTATCTGGAAGTCAATGGGGGAGACCTATGTTCAGTAGTGGACGTCCTGTGGCTGACATGATAATGATGACATCGCCAATCCGCTTAAACCTTCTCTGTGTGAGAAGAGGCCTTAGCTCAACAGTGGGCACTTATAGGCTGATGATGATAATGCTGATGAGATTATTTTGGTCAGGTTTTGGACACACAAAGGCGTATTTAACGTCAAAAGGCATTTTCAAATTTTAAATTCAAATTCAAATTTATTTATTTGTGAACATAGGTTATTACAATTGGTGTTACAAAAAATATTTTTTATGATCTCTATGCCCTACCATATCGGTGTACAAATTTTATAGAAATGAAAGAATACAAACATATACAGGCTTAATTAAAGTTTAAAATACAATGATTTTCAAAATAGGTCAATACTTAAATGTCTACAGTCAAGCATAACATGGATCAGAATAAAATAATAATTAAATACTATTGGATTTGTCATTAAGGAAAGAGTCAATTGAATAATATATTTTTTCTGTCAAGAACATAAACAGTCTTTTCTTAAATACATTAATATTGTCAGAATCTTTTATATATTTAGGAAGTTGATTATAAACTTTTGGAGCCATTGCGAATATGCTTTTATGAAACATTGCAGTTTTGCACGAGGCTAAATGTAATTTATCAGCTCTACGAAGGCTACTTACTTGCGAAAATTTTGAAAGGTTACGTCTGACGAACAAAGCAGTTTCAAAGATATATAAACAAGGCAACGTTAGTATCTTCAAGCTTTTAAAGAAAGGTTTACAACTATCAGTTTGTTTCAGATTACAGGTAGCTCTAACACACCGCTTTTGTGCAATAAATACAGTTTCTTTCCCAGTCGCATTACCCCAAAACATGATACCATATCTCAAGGTTGACGCTACAAGTCCATGATAAGCAGTTAGAAGCGTTGATTTACTGACTGTTTTTCTTAACATATATAGAGCATAAGAATATTGATTAACTTTACTACATACTTTTTCTATTTGAATATCCCAACATAATGTATTTTGTATATGTATTCCTAGAAATTTTGTACTATTTGTTTCAGCAATACGTATGTCATTGTAACTTATATTTAGGTTTAATTTATTGTTTGTTCTTTGTCCAAATTTCATAATTAAAGTTTTGTCCAGATTAATTTTTAAATTATTACATTGTAACCAATTTATTACAGATTTTATATTATTGTTTATGTCACATTCAAGTTTGTCATATTCATTATTATCAAAAACTATTGTACTGTCATCAGCAAACATTATCATAGGGTAATTTGTAGACGTGGGGAAGTCGTTGATATAGATAAGAAATAATAAAGGTCCGAGAACGCTTCCTTGGGGTACTCCGTGTGTTATAGTTCTGTAATTAGATTCGTAGTTTGTTTCAGTTTTAGTTAAATTACATATTCTATTTATAACGGTCAATTGTTGTCTGTTCTTAAGGTAAGATTCAAGAAGATCATAAACGTTACCTCTTATGCCATACGAGTGTAATTTCCTGAGCAAAATGTCATGGTCAACGTAGTCAAATGCCTTGGACATATCCATGTATAACGCTAATACTGGCAGTCTTTTATCTACTCGTGACGTTACTAGATTTAAAAATTCATAAATGGCCATATCAATAGACATATTTTTTCTAAAACCTTTTTGTTCGTCAGTAAATAAATTGTTTTTTTCAAAATAGTCATTAATTCTTTTACATATCACCTTTTCAAAAACTTTTGAGAATATGGGCACTAGTGCTATCGGTCTATAACTGGCCATATTTTCAACATCATCTTTTTTAAATAGTGGTTTGATAATTGTTACCTTCAATGTTTCAGGAAATTTACCATTTGCTATACACGTATTAATTAAGTGGCTTAAAATAGGAGCAATATATTTAGAAACTGACTTTACTATTTTTGTACATATACCATCATATCCGGTGCTAGTTGTATTATTTAATTGCATTATAATATAATATACCTCCTGTGGAGAAGTTGGAAGCATAAACATGGAAGAACAAGTATTATTTAGAGATGAGTGGGACCCCGTGTTAACTGAACAATTATATTGTACTTGATCAATGTAGAAATTGTTAAAAGCTTGCGCAATTTCAGATGGGTTATTTAATATCCTGTTATCAATTTTTATTCGCATAATACTTTCCTTAGGTAT